GACAACCTCTCGTCAATATGCGTTTTTCGCATTGCATTGCTGCAAAAAACGCATAAAAAGTCAAAACTCTGCTCCTTATTTTCTTCCACATGAGGTGCGGAGGTGCTCGAAAGTGACCCAGATGGCAGCCATCCGCTGAAAAAGCTGGCTTCATCGCGAGATAGTTACTCTGGTGACAAAGTGAAGGAGACTCTGATTCTTGATTGCATCTTTATTGATTTATTATTGAAATAAACGGACGAATTGAATGTTTTTCTTCCTGAGGTCGAATACCTCAGGAAGAAAAACATTCAACAGGAGCTGGGAAGTGGAGTCACTTGCCGGTATGTTAAAGCTCCATACTGGTTTTCAGATAATCGATGGTGAGCACAGTGTGGAACACTTGTTGTGCCAGTTGCGCGGGCTACAGGCTGCATATTTGCGAGTTATACGACGCGATGATCAGGTTTCTGGGGAGCTTGATTCGCTGAGAGAAGAGCTGCAAAAAAAACGGCATGCGTGGGCCGCTTTCACAGCAACACATGCTCTTTTTCTCACGCAGATGGAGCTGCTGGAGAAGTTAGCTTATGCGTGTTTTTTTTTTTTTTTGAATCTGCTTACACAGGTCATGTTGAGTCCCTGTCTACACCCTTAAATACTTTATTGCTTATGTAAGTCAACTTTCATATCTGGTCTTAAAAGAAGTAGCGTGGTTCAGTGTTTTATTTTTTGTGCATCGATGATTGCAATATAAAGACTGATTCTGCAGTGATGTAAAGGTAGCGTGTTTCTGTCTAGTTCAACTTCATCAACTCAAAAACTTTTCAGCAATAGGAAGTTGCTGTCAGACCAGTCTGAAATCGAGCAATTAAATAACAACAGGGAAGTCCAGCAGAGAAGGTATGCAAATGCGCTTCACTGTTTAAGCATTTATAAATTTTGAACACCCACAAGATTGCTATATTAACACTGTGAATGCATTTAAGGTTGGAGAGCATACGTTTCCAGCAAGTTCAAATGAGTGATCAAATTGAAACAATCGAGAAAAACATTAAAGAAAATGAAGTGCTACATTGCAGCTTAATGCCAAAGCTTTCTAAGCTACATAGGTAAAGTTTCAGTTGTTGTAATCACATTGTTTCCTCTGGCTTTTAAAAAACACGAAGCAGGATACAAATCATCCTGTTTTCTTGTCCATGACAAAGAGCAGCTTTGTCGTCTTCGGATTCAGCTCAGGATATTCCCCTTTTCAGTCACGTAAGTCTGGGAATTTTAGTGGCGAGACACCTCATTGATTAGAGTATATATTTTATTTCAATTCTTACAAGAAGTGAATTTATAAATAAGAGCAGTAGGGTACTGATTTTTTGAATCAACATGTGTTTCTAGAGAGCTGAACACTTGTCAGTTTCGTCTTTGTCAAATGAACGTTTCACAAGTAGCGATGGATAAAATTTTGCAAGAAGTGTCTTTCCTTGCCGATACGGAACCAGAACCATTGGCAAGGATTTTACTCCAACTGACACTGCGATGGCAACCAGACAGATATCTCGCACTTGATTGCACAAAGGTTTTCCATCTGTTTTTAAGTTTTCTTCTCATCGCAAATCGTTGCTGCGCGTTAACTCATTCGGTAAATAAAACAAATAGCGGTGCGCACAAGGGTAGTTGGTGCGATCATGCGTTTTGAGCAGTCCCGTCCAGTGAACGTTTGCCTGCTAAGGATTTGCACTGCTTTACACTTTGCTCTGTGCAAATATAGTTGAAATGTTGTTTCGTTCTTAAGTTGCGAAAAAAAATTTCACGTGCCGGTACGTGAAAGCTGAATTTAAACCTTGAGCAATGAATATTGTTCCAAAATTTCAACCTCCTAGTCCTCTGGCATCCGAGCAACTTTCGCGCCAAAGACGTCACGTGGTCGTACGTGAGACCTAGGCATACTTGGGAACTAAATTTGATTTTGTTAGGCTTCTGCATAGGCAGAAAAGTTCCTCCTGAAATTTTTGGCCTCCTAGCTGTTCTGGCTTCCGGGATAATAATTTTTTTCGTCAAAACTTTCGCGGATACGTTGAGATCCAGGCGTACGTGAGAGTCGGGTTTAAACTTGCTTGGTCGTACGTGGACGAGAGACACTGCTCAACTTTCGCGTTTCCCGAGATAATACTTCCTCCCTCCCCCTTCCCTCTCACAGGGTCATAGTGGTACTAGAACGTAGGGGAAGGCTGAATTTATTGGGATTGTGCTTGGGTAAGGGACACTACGGTAATGTTTCAGCTCCCTAACTTTTGTGGTTCATGGGATAATTTCTCCGCCAAAATTTTCACGCAGCCGTGCGTGATACCCGGGGTACGTGAAGACTGAATTCGTACGTGGACGAGGGACATTGTCTTAAAACCTCAGCTTCCCAGCTTTCATGGTTTCCGAGATAACAATTTTCCCCGCTAAAACTTTCGCTGGGCCGTACATGATACCCAGGCGCGCAAGAAAACTGAATTTAAATTCGGTGGGTTGTA